CACTGGCGCTAGAGAATGCTGACCCGGGAGTTGCCGTTGGCGTCGGGCAGCATCGTCAGCAGCATCGTGAGCACGGAGCCGCTGCCGCACGCACCACTACCGTAGCAGCGACGACTAAACCTACGTGTCTACTATGTAAGTGTGAACATAAACTTTATTTATGCAACAAATTTAAATTAATGCCTATTTCAGAAAGGATTGACTTCGTCAAAGAAAAGTCTCTTTGTCGCATATGTTTAAGTCGTCACTCAAATAGGTGTAAATACCATTTTCGGTGTAACAAGTGCAAGGAACCACACAACTCATTGCTGCATCAAATCCCCAGCGATAGTGGTACCACATCAGCTGCCTCATTATCAGCAAACGAACTGACTAATCAAGTTTTATTACCCACAGCAAAGATAAAAATTATAGCTCGAGATGGCAAGCCAGTATATCTTCGAGCACTGCTGGATTCTGGGTCTCAGCTGTCTTTCATGACTGAAAAAGCGACACAGCTGCTAAAATTAAGGCCTACAGAAACAAATGTCAATGTAATAGGCATCACAAATACTAAATCCAGGTTAAAGTATTGTTTACCTGTAGAAATCCATTCAACAAAAAACTCCTTTAAAATTCCTGTTACATGCCATGTAATTGAAAAAATTACATGCAACCTGCCACAATATAAATTTAACTCCAAAGATTGCGTTCCTAGAGGGATTAATCTGGCAGATGATCAATTCAATGTACCAGGTGAGATTGATGTTCTAATGGGTGCGGATGTGGTATTCCAGGTGCTACTGCCTACGGAGTCGCCGAGCTACGAGCCTGTGAGCCAGCCTTCAAGTTTGCTGAGCCGCGAGCCAGCGACGCCGCTTAATATCCAGCCATCGGCAACGCAGTTTGACAGCCAGTCACCACGTCTCATTAATACTCAATTTGGATACATTATCGGAGGTACTCTGCCACGAGTTAATAATACATCTCAGTTTTGCAATAAGGTCACATTAAAGTGTACATGCGATGCTGTCACTAGTGACATCTTAAATAATTTTTGGAAAACTGAAAGTGTACCAGAAATTTATAATGAAAAATCCTCTGAGCATGAGCTTTGTGAAAATAATTTCAAAGAAACTTTTCAGCTAAAAGAAAATAAATTTAAAGTCGGGTTACCATTAAAATTACCTTTGAGTGAAATCAATACTGCTCTAGGTGATTCGTTTAATTTGGCACTTAAAAGATTTTTAAATTTAGAGAAAAAATTGCATAATAATTATTCACTCTTTTTAGAATATAAAAAATTTATTCATGAATATTTAAATTTGAAACATGGGCACTATGTCGATATTGAGCTTTATCAATTAAATAAAGATGCGGTGTATTTCTTACCCCATCATGCGGTTTTTAATCATAATAGTAAAACCACAAAATTACGTACAGTATTTGACGGTTCTATGAAAACCAACAAAAAGATATCTCTGAACGATTTATTACTAAACGGACCCACCGTACAAAGGGAACTTTTTGATATTTTATTATTATTTCGATTTGGTGATTTTACATTTATCACAGATATTAAGCAAATGTTTCGAAGTATTAATTTGGTCTCACAGCACACTTCACTACAAAACATATTGTGGCGTGATGACCCAAGTGAAAATATAAAATGCATAAGGCTTGACACTGTCACTTATGGTTTAAAAAGTTCAAGTTACCTTGCCACTCGTTGTCTAAAGCAGTTAGCAATGCAAAATGAAAATACATTGCCACTAGGTTCATTTATTTTAGACAATTGCACATATGTTGATGACATATTGTATGCCGATAACGATTTAAATAAAATTTTACAAGCAAAGTCACAAATTATTGAACTTCTAAAGTTAGGCAGCTTTCAAACTCATAAGTGGTCGTCTAATGACAATAGAATATTGACAGATATTTCACCTGATCACCAGCAGTTTGATGATGTAGAACTTCAAAGTAAAGATTGTAGTTTGAAAACCTTAGGTTTACAATTAATAGTCAAAAAGGATAAATTTAAAATATCTTGTCCAGAACCCTTTAGTGACAAAAATAAAGCAACTAAAAGGGAAATACTTGCTTACATTGGAAAATTCTATGATCCGATGGGCTTTATCAGTCCCATCATTGTGCAAGCAAAATCAATTATGCAAAAATTATGGTCTTCTAAAACTGACTGGGATTCGATGCCCGACAGTAGTATTAGGGAAGAATGGTTTAAATTTACTTCCAGTCTGTCTGAAATGGAACCTATATATATAGATAGAAATATTCATATAACTAATTCAGATACTGTTGAACTCATAGGTTTTTCGGATGCGTCCAGCTCAACAGCATACGGCTGTTGCGTTTATTTGCGAATTATACGTCCGTCAGGTAAAGTTGATATGTACCTGCTGTGTTCTAAGTCGCGCATTAACCCGCTTCAACGCAATAACATGACAGTGCCGCGCCTAGAGCTCAACGCTGCCCTACTGCTTTCAATTTTGGTTAAAAAATTACGGGAATTGCTACAATTAAAACACAAAATTAAAAATATATATTTATTCACAGATTCTAAAATAGTGTTAGCTTGGCTGCAAACTGAACCGATTAAACTGGGTGCTTACGTTGCGAACAGGGTTAAGGCTATTTCTGATAATATAAGTGATTGCATGTGGGCTTATGTGAATACCGCAGACAATCCCGCTGACTATGTAAGCCGGGGTGTAGCGCCGACAAAGCTAGCCTCCTGCTCTATGTGGTGGCACGGCCCGTCCTTAATGCACGACGCACGATATGTATTCTATAATCCAACAGAGCTCCCTGTTGACCTACCAGAGGTAAGGGCCGAGTCAACATTCTCTAGCAACCAGATAGTCACAGACACAAACGATGTTCACAATTACTTGAAAAAATTTTCGAGTATTCATAAGATGGTACGTACGTTAGCCTTCGTCTTAAGATTTGCAAATAATTTAAAGGGCGGCAGAATCTCTCATAATTATCTATCTAGTTCAGAATTAAAAAACGCTTTAATATTGCTTGTTAAGAAAGAACAAGAAATTTATTTTAAGGATGAATTATTTTGCTTAAAAAATAATAAAAATTTAAAGGGTTCATTGCAAAATTTATATCCTTTCATAGACACTTCTGGTATTCTTAGGGTAGGAGGTAGGTTACACCACTCTAACATTCCATTTGCACAAAAACACCAAATAATTTTACCAAGGGAATCTCATGTAACAAATTGTATAATACAGGCTGAACATTTAAGGCTGTTACATGCAGGGCCTAGATTACTATTGTCTAATTTAAATCAAAGATATTGGATTGTTAACGGTCTATCATATGTAAAGAAATTAACTAGAAAATGTATACCTTGTTTTAAGTTAAAGGCGGATGCGTCAAAGCAATTAATGGGTTCTTTGCCAGCCGACCGTGTGACTGCCATGAGTCGCCCGTTTGAAAAGGTCGGTGTTGATTTCGCTGGGCCAATAAATATTAAACTCTCGCGCGTAAGACGTTCACTTGTGGGCAAAGGGTATATTTGTGTATTTGTTTGCTTTGCTACTAAAGCGTTACACCTTGAAGTGACCTCTGATCTTACAACAGAGTCTTATCTCGCGTGCCTTAAAAGATTTATTTCCAGAAGGGGGTTGCCCAGAGAAATCTACTCTGATAACGCTAGTACTTTTAAAGGCGCACAGAATCAATTAGCAGAGCTTTACCGCCTACAGTCATCAAAAGAACATCAAAGAAAGGTCTGCCAATATGCATCTACACAGAATATAAATTTCCATTTCATACCATCTTATTCACCTACCTTTGGTGGTCTTTGGGAGGCTGCAGTAAAAAGTACTAAATACCATCTTAAAAGAATTACACAGAACAAAATGTTAACATATGAACAAATTAATACTGTGTTAGTAGAAATTGAATGTGTTCTAAATTCCAGACCGTTGTTGCCACTGTCATCATCAGATGTAAACGATTATTCTTACCTGACACCTGGTCATTTTTTAATTGGTAACGCACTTACTATGTACCCTGAAAGTGATTTTATTGATATTCCAGAAAATCGCCTAAAATTCTGGCAATTATGTACTCAACTTAAGCAGTCATTTTGGAAAATATGGTATAAGCAATATCTTAATATATTGCAAAACAGACCCAAATGGAAAAATACCACAGCCAATGTAACAGTAGGTAGGCTAGTAATATTAAGAGAAGATAATGTACCTGTCATGTATTGGCCTATGGCTCGTATAACAAAAATCTTTCCAGGTCATGATGGTCTTGTAAGGGCAGTTGAAGTTAAAACTTCCAATGGTAAATCACATATCCGTTCCATTTTAAAAATAAGCATTTTACCCATTGAAGATTCATAATAAATTTGGTTGTTATAATAAAACACAAGTTTTAAGTTTGAGTACAATTACCATGTTTATAAATATAATAATATTTGATTTATTATTTCTTTTTGATGAAAATTAATTAATTATCTAATGTATAACATATATAAAGTAAGTATGTTTATTAATAAATTAAAAATGTTTAATGCATAATTATTTGATTGTCTATTGTATAATTAGATGTTTTATTTAAGAAAAAAAAAATGTAATTAGACATAAGTATGACATTCTTTGTGTGCCCGCAGCATGTCGGGATGTTCCCAACACTAGTTATTACATAAGGTATAAATAGCTGAGCAATGTATCCGCGCGCTCTCTCTTTCACTGTATACTTCACAAGACGCACGCGTCTCAGTTTGTTGTTGACAATAATAAACCTCTTCATTATAATATACCAGCATTTTAATTACAAGTCCATTAACGGCTCCACACTATTTGATTCCGTCCATAAGGACGGACTGTGCCCCTGCATTGGGTATATTAATATGCTAATGATGGTCACAGTGGTCATCTTACCCCAGTAGAGTTGCAGTGCGCCACGGAAGAACCTCGGTATATATCGCTCGAGGGCCAGCAAAGTTGAATTCATGTCTTCCAGTACACCCACCACCGCGTATTGTTCTTCTACCACTCGCTTAGCACGCTGCAGAGCTTCCACACTATTAAATGGCCTGTAATAAATCACAATATTGTACTAAGTGACTAACAAAATAAACTGTAAAAATTATTTGACAGCGTTTATTACCAAATTTTACATAAAATTGTTTGTGTGCAACTTTTTTCTAATTTAAACTAACAAATTGTAATAAAAGCCAACTACGTACTCTTAAAGTAATTTTATCTACACTCAAATAAAAAAAATCGAATTACGAATTCAAAAACGATTCTATAAATACGCACTTTATAAACATAAAATTAAAAGTAAAACTCATTATAGTACCGCCAACTGTATCATAAAACTCATTTTTACTATAATGAGTATCGCTATCTTTTTTTATCCATGAAACAAGTCTATGGTTTTAGGCTGAATATGAAAAAAATGGCACACGCATGCGTTGTTTGAACTTCATTTCCCGCGCTTCCCATACATTTTGTTGCCGATCGTGTTTTTGTATTCGGGATTCCAAAAACATACTTCCTTGTCACCTACCTACTTTGTTTAATTTCAATTTTTCCTATGAGTGAAGATAATAAAGTAGTGTATGAAACTGCATATAACTTAGGTATTAAAACACTCGAGTCAACCTATTATCGATAAACAGACTCTCGTGTTTTGATACCCATTCTTATATGGCAGTTGCATAAACTACTATTTCATTATGCCAAATCGTATGAAATAATAATATAGAGATGAAGAACAGTCCTTATAGATTTACTTTAATAATTACAAGGTCACTGTCTTGTCTTGTATTTGAAAACCAATGACGTAATTTTTCCGATTTCACCAGTAAAATGCCTAGACGGAATAAACGGAATATTTTATTTTGAATTTGTTGAACAAATGAAGTAACAAATGAAAACTATGGCGGCAATGTCTCTATGTTTATGAATCAGGTGAGACCGTCAGTGAATCTACGAAAATCATTCGTAAGTTTTAAGTAAGAGCTAGAAGAGATGTATGTATGTATGTCCTATGTATCCGCGTGTAAACTTTTTGTCTACTATCTTTAACATCATTTATTTTTATTATTCACCTTACGTAATTTTAAATTTTGAGTAATCCAATAAACTCTTTGTTGCGAACTGGCCAGCAGGCTAGTGAGATATTTTTATAAGTGTATTTTTTGTTAACATGTTATTCTCCTTTTTTCTTTGTCCTTGTTCTTTTTGCGGTCATGTAAGTAAGCTGCGTATTTTGTTTTGTATATATTTTAATTATCTTTATTATATATTATTTCCTTAACTTTGAGCCCTTTCTTTCCTTCCAACTTGTATCTCTACTATATCCGTTATACTCTTTATGAATGTCATTTCGTAAAAAAATAATCTGGTGAGAACATGATAATTTAATCATATAAATCTAATAATAATAAAGTTACTATAATTTAAATAAGAAACATGTAAACGTATATTTTCGTAAATATCGACCAAGTTTTATCTATTACGGAAAACCCAGAAACGGGGTTGTATTTGTTCTATTTTACTATTTTAATTATATTATTAAGGTAATCATACGAACTGTTTATATTATTTTTTTTGTTTCAGTTTTTTCTTAATACCGTCTAATTAATCAAATTTTCAAGCCTAGTCAGCCTTTTATTCATTTGCCTAGGCATCGAACCAGTCGCAGTCATTATCGAGCTTAGATTACGACTGTATTGATTAGAACTAGATTGATCGCAAATATGACTTGTCATCGGCAGTATGACCAAATATTGATGATCCTGACCTCTTATGTTCATTGGAAATGTTCGTTAAGCTGTTTGACCCATCTGCATTCGTCAGCCCACATTCTTTCTGTATCTTTTCACGGGGAAAGCCATCTCTTGTCAACCCGACCCAAGAAGCCATCTTTTGATGTTATAATGCAACTCTAAATATGAACTTTATCACTTACGTGCACTGAGGCTCGTGGCCACAGAAGAATAGCGTTTGCCGGCGATGGTCACCGATACCTTCGTGTGTCTCTCCCTCGATGTAGCGGCACTCCCGATCACCGCTTAGTACACATGTCTCGAAATCCTGCAAAGATGGCATTACATACATCACACACATACATCTTTACTTGAAGTTGCAACGCTGCATCAAAAAACATACGATAAATTTCAATCTGCATTATGATAGAGTCAGATCTCACAATATGTGTTGGTTAAAGAAGTGTTAATATATACTTAGATCGTATGTCTATCTACTAGCCGATTTACAGATATCAAGTAATAAAGGTAAGTAAAACACTACTTACGGTTTTAGGGTTCCCTAGTAAAAAGGAACCCTTGTATCGGGTTGGCTAATAAATAATGAGCGACAAGCATAACTGCGATTTTTATTTCTAAGTTATGCTTGTCGCTGTTATTCACAATGTAATCACCGCCGTTATCTACCACTGTACGCCAGGGATTAGGTAAAGTTTGGATTGCATCTCTGTAAAACTTTGCCAAATTGGATTTGAAAAAAACATCTATGTACTGTTGTAACTGGGGTTCATCATAAATTTCAGGCAAATGATTACTAAATGACCGGAATAAACTAAAATCTGTTGGCGCTTAGTCCGGTGAATACGGAGGATGTGGAACTATTTCGCAGTTCAGCTCCAATAGTTTCTGTAGGGTACTCTTAGCAATATGCGGTCGGGAATTATCATGGAGGAAAAATGTTGTGGACGCTTACGATGAAGTTCAAGCTTCCGATTATCGAGTTGATAACAGTACACGTTCGTTGTGATCGTTGTTTTGGTAGGAAGAATTTCCTAGTATATTATCCATATACATCCCACCATACCGAGTGCATCACCTTGCGAGGATGGAGATCTTTTTTTGGCGTAGGTTTGCCTGATTCGTAGCGGCCTAGCAACTGGTGCCCAGATCTCGGTTGATCTATCAAGGAATAGTCTCCATCCACTAACTACCTTGTTACCTTGAAGACTGCGTCATGTCACAGCGAAATGGCCAGATTGGTACTCATATAATAAACAATGTTGGACATGGGTTTTAATATCATTCGCTTTTTCGGTGAAGTTAACTCCACGACATTACTACTCGCTCTTTAATATAATGTAATGCAATGCAATATGCAATGTAATGTAATGCATTATTTTATTCGTAGGCTCACGGGGACCCAATAGGCCTGTGAGTTTTAGGAGTTTATTTATTTAAAAATTATTGAGTAGTACTTCCAGACACTTTTCATCTATAGTTTATATCTATATTGAATTTCACGGTCTAAGTATATACTAAACCCTGTCTAAAAAAATATCAGAAAACAAGTATTGCCTGGCGGCCCTGGGATCTTGATTTATGAGAAACAGCTATAATTGTGTAACAGTTTTAACTCTTTGCTAAAAAATAAAAATACTCCACATAATAGTAATTCATTATTTCGTTCCCTAATTGAAAGATTGAAACGTTCCGCCATGTCGAACTCGAGCAAATATTGTAGTACATTCTAATTCTAAGAAGCTAAACTAACTAATGGATACGAACATTCAACTTCAGAAGTGTTAGTTACGGCACTACGGTTCATATGTATAGACAAAAGATATTGAGCGAAATAACCGCTAATATATTACGAATAGCTGTTCCCAAACTCTAATTAAAACGTCATCTTTTTTGTTGGCATAAAACTAATTTATTTTTTGCGTCCAAACTAACTAGAGACTCAACATTCAGATCATGTAACTACACGTTGTACACAAACACCATTTAACAATAGAAGAATAATTATCTCGGAAAATCCGCACACGACTTGTGCAATAATCGATACTATTAATTCTCGTAATAAGCCGGTGTGAGCTGTCAGGTATTAGCTGCAGGGCGACCGGCTAATAAAGACAGTAAATTATATTTTGGTTCTCAGGTTTGTCTATGGTTTTATTATGACAGGTAATTTCTTGAGTCAGGACATAAGCGCGCTTTAACGATTGATTCATTCGATATCTTCATAATAATCAACCATTAATATTCCTTTCATAATAAATAAGCCTATATATCGGTTTAAAAGTCCGCTAACCTTTTAATCAAACAAAATCAAAGAACTGTCTCCCTTTAAAATTGCTACAAGATTCTTGCTGTCAATTTGAAACAGGTATTGACATTGTAAGGCGAGTCATGTTGCATGAATCAATATAAATAATAACCTTTGGCTTACATCGGCCTCATTCTGTGATTCAATTTGCCACTTCAAATCTCTTCGATCTGGATCGTGAACATCGATATTTTACGCGTTCATCAGAGACAAGTTAGAATCGTGCGCTCGTGACCATAAAAATCTTAACATCATTTCAATTCTAACGGTGCATTAATTTAAAATAAAAAGACAACAATCCGGGATATAGCTTTATAAGGCCGCTTTAAAAATAAATTGACTACCGGTCATTGTAAACGATATCAACCTTGTTACTCTTGACGAACAAAAAATATCATTGACATCAAAGGTGGTAAAAAAGATAAAGATAAGCACGAATTGAAAGAGTAGTTTTTCAAATAATACCCAATTGATAGATGGCAATAAATACACATAAGCTACTATAACAAAGCAAGTTTATGAGCACGAGCTAAACTCACTATTTTAGATCTGGATCAGCGCAGGCGCAGTTAACGACGCGAGCACGTGAACGATTCTCGATCGATTGATCCGCAAATTGGTGTAGGGCGATTGGAATGAGATAATGAACAGTCGTAGTTGTCGATGAAGAAGCGCTTAAGTGTGGAGTACGTTATAATAATACAATCTGTTATTTTTTCCTCATATCCATCAGTCACGCATACTTCCAAGAAGAAACTAGCTATTTGAGTTTAAATAATTCCATGACCAATATACCACTAGATTGATATTTGAAAAATTTATGACGGATTATTACTTTTTTAAGCCACGATGGATCTGGCAGAGGTAAATCTGGAAAGGCGCGTTTCCTCTCGACGTAGTACCAAGGAGCTCTGACGTAGTAATACCATGAAATCACTCGTTCAACAGGATCTCTCACGACATTCACGTAGATAGGAGAAGGATACCCAAATCTGGAATTTTAAAAATACAGTAGTATAGTATGCCATAAAAGTTAGAATTCAGCTAAATCTTTTTCGAGTATTATCATTATAAAAGACTAGGAGAATGCAAAATTCACAATAATAATAAAAAATGTTGTTCTCATTTTCCTGATATCAGAAAACAATAGGACAACTCGATATACGAGAAGGGCAATTATCGTTAATAGAGGACAGGTGGTTTAACAACCATTGGCATTAAATAATTCAGTACACTTGGGTTATTAAGGCTAAGTAAACAAGAGAGAATCAAGATTTGTATTGATAACACAAGAAAAGTAGACAACCGCGCTCAAAATGTAGTATGTTGAGCATCATTTTCTCCTTTATTAATTACATTTAGTTTACAGCATTATCAAAATTTCCGAATTTAATATAATTTCTAAATGTGTGTTTTTTGTCCGAAAGTTCTCAAAAAATACCTCACATAAACAGGGTCGGATACATTTTTTGGAAGTGATGACAAAGATAATAAGGTAAGTATCAATCAAAACTGTTACTGTTATTAGTTAGAAGTAAAAGGAAAAGTCAATAAACATTACTCATTGAATTATATTTTCGGAAATAACAAATGCGACAACTATGACGCCATGGTGAGCCTCTGTTACTTAGTGGTCGAAGGCTCTTTATCCGGAGTTATATTCTAGCTTTGCTGAGGTAATGCTTTTTAACCACTTTATAAATTTTTAAAATTGTTGAAGTTTCAAGATCCGGCTTTATGTTATCGCTGTTTGCATTATGGGTGAGCCTTTCTTTATAGCTATTTTTACGCTTCAAGCATACCGGAATCTTATATGTTTAGATGCATTAATCATGTCCGTATCACGCCCTGATGTAGTCAATACATTTCATCTACAGTTGTGATGGATGTTTAAATATTAAACCTAGCTTTAATTTTTGTTGTTAACAAGTTAATGACTCATACAGTATTTTTAGTCATATTTAAAAACTAGACTAGTTATATTTTAATGAAACTTTAGACTTTCTAATAACAAACCTTACACAATGTAATGTCCCTAAACAATTACAAACAATTATATTTCATAACTTATTGTGTATCAGTACCTTATTATTTCTATTTCAATTTTTTTTTTGTAATTCAGTTAGAATTTTTTCCAATCAAACAAATTCATGAACTTTAAAAGATTTGTTAAGTTATTCTCTCTTTTCTTTTGTTTTATTAATATTTGCAAATATTTGCTTGAAGTATTGTTGGAACATTCTGGATTTTTACAGTCAATCATAATTTGTCCGCGAATAAAGTAATTATTTTTTTCAAAATAAGAAACCATTTCAATATCGAAAAAGTAATTTTACCTGGTAAAATTAGTATAGCAGACATGTTTGATGTAGGAAGCGGGTGGCGTATGCGCGGCTACCAGGCTCACCAACATCTGCTGGTCAGCGGGCGCTAGACGGATTGTCTCTACACGCTGCACTGCGTCTCGATGGAACCCTGAAACAATTTGCAATTCATCATCATCATCATCAGCCCCTTTACGTCCCCGCTGTAGTGGCTCAGGTCTTCGTTAAGGATGGTTAAGGAGGATGGGCCACGACTCTGCACGCTGGTCCAATGTGGATTAGAAGGTATTAATGACTACAAATGCAGTCGGGACCAACAGTTTATCGTGCCTTCATGGCTCGAGATAATAATATTTTAGTCACCCATCTCGTGACCGACACTTGCGAAAGTTGCTTAACAACAAAGATCGCGGGCCACGGCGCTTAACAACTACGCCACCGAGCTACCTTTTACCTTTTTTGAAATTTTGCAACAAAATTGGAAATCACATATATTTCTCAGATCCTAAATTAAGTAGCTATGGCAATCTAAAATGCATTTGTACTATGGCAATCTAAAACAACGAAGGTACTATAACACACAGACCTGAGAAAATTTAGAAAAAATAACTAAACTAAATGATCCCACTAGGAAATCAAACCCCGGACCTTAGAGACGGTCACTTTGAAATTGGCATGCTAGCCACACCTACCACGGAGTTCGTCAAAATAAATGGTCCATTTGTCTTGAGAGTTTACTCGATTTCATTATTATACCATAGCGCAGCCTTTCCCAAAGTGGGTGATAACGCCCCCTTGTGGGCTGTGGCTTTAAGCTGCAGGCCTAAAGAGAAAGAGGCTTGGGGTTGGTGATTTGTAATTTCATTTAGCTAGGAGGCCTCTTAGACACCGACTGCATGAGTACTCGACCCTTGACTAATAATCGTGAACATTAACATAACAAATATTAGTTAAGATATTGCTCAAACTCGGTTCGATAACTCTCTCCACGTAGTTCATATATGTATCCTATCTTAATGAATATATAAAATAAAAATCATGTCAATCGGTTACTACATTTCGAAAAGAAAGTAGACACAAACTAACAAATAAAAAGGCAACAGACTTACTTTCGCAATTTAATAGTTATTGGTACTCCTAAACAGGTAATTTTCGTTAAATGGACCGCAGGCAATAATGTTTGAACAAGTTTTTATTAAATAACCCGAATTGTGCATTCCTGTATCAATCGCTGGTTCATATAATACTTGTTCGTACTTGTTGAGATAAATGAGTTTATGCATATTTGTTTTATTCCTGTCGGTGCGTGCCGCTTATGCAATCTTCTTTTGTTTTATTGTCTGTCTGTCTGTCTGTCTGTGTTTTGTTTTATGTTCTGTCCTATATAAACAACTTAATATTTATTTTATTTTTTACTACTACTGCTACGCGAGTATTTCATCAGCTTTGTATGACTAACGATGAGGATTTTCACCGGTTGTTGTTTCATACTGAAGTTCGTTGAATATCAAGAGGCAATTGTCCGACTCGATTTTACAACTTGTATAATTCTGTGATAGAGTTCTTGGAAACTAAAGATACAGAATTGCATAACAAGCTGATTACATCAAATAATGATATAGATTACATGACAGACCTGTATAAATTGTTCAACGACATGAATGTCCTACTGCAAAGCGATTAACTAAATTTAATTAAAACAAAAAACTAGTAGACAAAATAAGTTTGAGAACTCCTGCCAAAGTGTATGTCAGGGTGTCAATTATGCTATCTTCAATGTAGAAATATGTATCAAAATTTTATATCTCCTTTTTTACAGATGATGTGTTAAGCTCATAGTCTTTTTCATTATGACACCATTTGAGTATTTGCAGTAGATTGCAATAAAAAACTAATGTAAATCATTAGCGATAAATCCAATCGGTATTCACATTAGGAAGTAACTAAATAAAACGTAGTGGCCAACGACCTTTGTTAGTTGTGATGATCACAAAATTGATTTATTATCTACGCCTTTCTATTTAACAGCTTTTTAACTATAATCATTTCTTAGAACATCTCGGTAGCAAATCTTTGCACTACATTAAAACAAATGAATCATAATATCGTTATAAGAAATAAGCACCGTTGTGTCTAGGCCCATATTTATGAGATCGTTTTTACTGCTTGTTTCCTGCTATCTCGTGCAATTGTATATTGTAAATTAAGATTTTGTGAATAAAAACTCATTTGTTATTCGCCCTAGATATAGATATGCAAAACGTAACAAAAGTAAATTAATCAAATTTAATACAACAATAGCAAAGCAATAAAAACCCAAAATTTAAACTTGTGAAAAATTACATAAAAGTCGCAATTTAAGCGCCATTTAAATATACACTATCATATAAGACGAAAAACTTAAAAAAACAATGAGATATTTTCTCAGACACCAAGCTAGACTTGAACCTAGCTGGTTCACACAAACACGAATTACGATATAGTAGAATATTTACAGCAGGTCAAGATGTATCGAAGAAGAATACATATTGCGCCGATCCTTAACTAATGAACGAACGAAGTCATCTGTTTTTTGATTGCCAATAACTGTCAAAATTTCAGGTCTAAGTAAGTTAACGTCATTGTATAAATTAAATAAAATGAGGAACTCAAATCGAATAGGTAGAACTCGCTTCACCATAAATGTCATAAATATGAAAAATAAATTTGTATTCACTCACCAAACTGATTCCTTATAGCTAGTCGCCTGAGCAACTCCATGAAGGTCTGACTCCCGACCTTGGGCACACGGTTGAAGAATAGTAACTCCATAGCTGCCCTAGCTGTATTATTCAGTTCCCATGGCTCCGGCACCAGAAGCTCATCTAAATACTCTTGCTCTTCTTGATGAGAATCTTCCGGTTCTGCTTCTAATGTTCGCTGAGGCTTACTTCGCTCCTATTGGACACAAATAGTAACAGAATTAATAACCATAATGATACGCTAAGATATTGAGTATTAGATATTTTAAACTTTCGCTATGCACATCTTCAGGCGGGCGAATACGCTCACAAATAGCGGTAGTGCCAGGTGTAAGAAATTCGTTAGTCTGATTAGGTATCGGGTACCCCAATTGGTTAGAGTCGTCGTGTAGGCTGCAAAAGGTAATCCAACTTCAAAGAAGGATAGAAATTAATAGATTTTTTAAAGGTGAATTTGCAGTAAAATTTTACTGAAAATTTTGATAGTTCTTTTGTTGTTTTGGAAAATTGTGTCACTAAAAATATATATCACATCGTAGCATAATAATTTTACGATCGCTTCAAACTCGACTTTGGCTAGGCTCTATTCATGAGTATATTTTCGCGAGCGCCTGAGGTCACTAATAGCAATCAGCTCTGAATAAAACCGTAAATATAGCTGAGAGCCTGCCATTCGTTCCATTATGTTTAATGATATTCGCATTTTACTATACGCTGCATTACTAATATTATCTTTAAAGAAAAAAAGCAAAACTTGATGGACATGTAAATTGTAACTTGCGATTGTACCGAACTCATATTGAGATAGTTGCTCTAAAGTATTATTTATGATATTCTTTCAATATTTTTAAGAATGAATGTCATTATTAACACATGCTTTTATTTAAGATTGCGTTAATTATTACTTAATTTTACACATATAATCTACTGTTTCATACAGCCCCTTTATTAAATGATTACTAAATTTCAATTCTATAGGGTATGAAAAATTACATATTGCTTGCGATCCAATCGTGCTGTACGCAGGCGATTAACTTTTCTCTAGATATTTTCTATGAAATAGTGAATACTACGAGTAATTAAACTTTAGTGCATGGTCAAGAGTTAAAAACGTTATTGCTTTTTTTTGCAAATGCAGGGTAAATTCCCTCTTCAAATAAGGTCAAAACACGCTGGGAAGGAACGGGAATATTCCAGTATCCGACAATTTCGAGTTTAAAAAACCTACATAACAAATGCAGAAAATAATACAAACAAAGAAAGATTATAATGCATATTCTCTAGTATTTTTTTTTAAAGTACTCGTAGTTGTTAATTTTATATATTTGAATTACGAACTTACAGCGCCGGTGTGCTTTCTTAATGCGTCTAGGGCGTCTTTATATTCTTGCGCAGACGCGAAAGCGTGTTCAGTGCGATCTGTCGGAGTTTCTGTAAAAGATAAAACATAGTAGCAGTTTAAAAAATAAACACTTCAACATTGCATTGGAAATAAAATTATGCGCCTTAGGCAAGCCGGCCCATTTGAATAGTTGATTTGTTTTCAATGTAATAATATGAAATTAAACAGTATTTTTTTTAAAAATTCAACTAAATTCGCGATTCACAAGGGATGAATTTAATTTCTAAAATTGACGAATAATCAAATATGTCAACTTACCATTTATAAAAATAGGTAAGTCAATAAGAAATGGTATAATCAATATACTAATCTAAAAAAGATTAAATAATAACGTATGCTAATACGGTAAACATTCTTAATCAATCTTAATGTTACATGTATTTTAAATCATAAAGTAATAAACTACTTTTTATATTAGTTATCAGATGTCTGCATTGGTTCACTTTATTTCCCGTGTGCAGAAAAAACACTTTGCGACAATCAGTATGACGTGTCATGGCCACCGGCGGCTGATGACTCTAGAACTAATCGGTCGAAGTAAATTACATCTTCAATTCATAAAAGATGCTGTTAATTCAGTAAAGCTGTTGGAAATTTTGCAGCAACTCGTAAACCTCACCAATAATATGTAGAGGAAAGTAACCAAACATGGAATAGTTTAATACTGAAATTACTTTCTTAATTATTCTTCATGTTACTCTCAAAGGTCGAAATCGCTCAATGAACGAAAAATAGTTAACAACGCGTTGTGGTCATAGTAAAATATCCACATAACGAAATTTGTGTTATGGCTCTTAAGGAAACGCTCACAATGCGTTGTAGCATTCACAGAATAACCACATAGCGAAATCTTTGTCGTGGCTGTCATGCTATTCGTCCACAATACGTTGTGGCAATGAGGAAAAATCATGAAGCGTATTGAATCATATTAGGTTAGATTAGAATGCGGCTCTTCCAGCCGAGGAAACCGAGCCCTATCTTTGGATACCGGGTTCCTCCTACTCGCGTGAGGTGAACCGCAGCGGGTTTTCCGCAGGCAGGGCTTCCACGTAAACCTGCCCTTTTAAAAGTGTGGTGGAAGAGGAGTTTGAAACTAAAGGTGCATTTCCCAAAAAAAAGGTTAGCTTAGGATAGAGAATGACAAATAACGCACTAGCTTTGCTCGGTGAGCAATTTTCATTATTTGAGTGTAACAGATATATTAAGCCAAGAAAATCCATCCATAGCGAATTTCCTATATTTATTGACAATTCAGAATTTTAATAGTTTAAGAAGAAATTTCAATATTTTGAAAAACATATAATAAGAAAACATTTCATCTTATTTAAACGTTAAACGTATGTAATTTTTTGTCTGTTCAGGTGAATTATACTAATTTATGATAGTTAGTTTGAATTTAATAAAATAATTAATGTATTTTTATTGACATGTTCTGTTCTATCTAATTCACTAACCGGCTTTAATTTTTCTTGATATAATTTGCTTTAGCCAATGTAATAGGTCGCCTTTTTTTTCTATTTAATGTAATGATTAGAAGTGTAATAAAGTATATTTATTCAGTACAGCATTTGAGATAAAAAATTTAGCGAATGCAATAAATTACGTTTTTTCAAAAGTTGCCTTACAAAAGCCACCGGAAATATTTATGTTATCATAATAACAAAAACTCTTTCATTAAAATAATGTGCTATAAAACAGGTATTTCTCATGAGGTGAAAATGAACGTGTTTCTTTGTTTCACAAAAGATTCTTTTGTTTTGTTTTAATGTTTCGTACACCATAATTTAGTTGGTTAAGGAAAGGAAACTAAAAGTGGTAAAACAAGTGTCTGTCTCAAACAACGTATAAGTAGGTATAACGTGGAAAGTGCAGTTGCAATAAGCTCGGACTTTCACTAAAAACTTTTTCGAGATTATCCTTTCAGATAATTATTCTTACAACAGTGAAACTATCACTTGAATTAATAGTTTCAAAACAAAGCCTCAGTGAAAGCTTATCTATCTAAAGAATTGTACAAAAAAATATGATTAAAAAACAGAAAAAAGTTAGTAAGTCATGTAGGTTGAATAAATCAAATACCTAAGTCTATTTGTCTACGACAAATCTGAATATAATATTAATATAGCGTAAGATGCAAAGGTGTTGAATGAGATATCAAAATCGAATTGCTACTAAAAAAAATAATTGACAGTCGACACCATTCGATATCGTCTATGTATACAATTTTATTGCTAGTCATCGACGTGTTATAGTCGGTGAATCAGTGAGCAAATTAATGGGTATTTTCTCTCTATTAGTTTTATGTTAGTATGTACACTTTTATATTTTATTTGTTGGTTGAAAGGAGTATTCAAATTCGAATTCTTTATTTAAAATATTCTCATTTCGTATGACGTATGAATTTCTTACAATTACATTAAATTGCTGTAAATAATATTAATTTATACAATCAAATAAGAGATGAGTGAATTTTACTGACTTTCATAGTTAACCATAAAAAGGTAAAATATTTAACCCCCCTTAAATATGTGTTTGATTATAATTTAATTATTTATTTTTAAAGTTACTATATTAGAATACATATCCTGTAAATATTTCAAGCGTATACCTATTGTCACGTTTGTTATATGGTAACCCCCTTTAACGTTTATTTTATTCTGGTTTTTAATATTTGAAATATATAACAGAAATACATCATCTGAGAAAATTTGAACTGTCTTTCACAGTTCATTAGATACAGCCTGGTGACAGACAGACAGACTGCGAAGTCTTCATAATAGAGTTCCTGTTTTACCCTTTGGGTACGGAACTCTAAAAAAAATATATATATCACAATAAACTCCAACTTGGATATTTGTCGGAGTTCATTTCACTACACACATTCATTATACACTCAGAGGTAAAATTTTGATAAAAGCATCTGACCCACCAACGGATCGCCGTAAGAAATGGAACAAAAAAATCATATTACTTACTGCACTAATAAGCCACATATAGTATAGCAAAAACTACATCTTCATGCGGAGTAATAACGGACTCTAAGAAAGTAAATAAGACGTTGGCTTTGATATATGTTAGTATAATGATGTAGGAAAGGAAAAAGAGAACGGATCAATTGTAGCGGCTTACATCCGGAATCCATTGTGATGCACCATAAGATTCTTCATCCACATGCGGACTTAAATGAAACTAAATTGACATCAAATCAGGGACGGGAAATGTTGGACATTCACTTATTTCTCGATCTGATAGAATAATGAACAGTGAATTTATAAATAAAAATTAGACATATTCTTAGTGAAAAATGTTTAAATTAATTAAGAATATTTTCCAATATGAAATCGTAAAAATTGATCAAATAATAAGAATTACACATTTTCTTAAATTCCGAAACATCGTGGGAATCGATTAGAATAGTAATTTATTCATACCCGTTACTAATAGAGGCGGTTAAAAATATCACTAGGAGTAAGCGAATAAATAGAATTACACACCAAGGTACTTTACCACCAAAAAAATGTTTACGAGAAAAAGCCGTGGATGTTCTTTTAAGTAAATATTCTTAAAGTAGCTTTTTAGTGACATAGAAAAAAAACAAATTGTGATCTTGTTACTTTTTTGTAAAAGAACGCTCAGGCTCCTCATGTTACGGTTAATTTTCCACCTCCTTAAAAGAAATTATTTTTTTATAAAAAACGGAACATGTTTAAAAAAAAAACGGAATATTTAGTTATTGGATTAATTGGATTCTATTGATATTATTTGGGATTAGTTTTTTTTTATATCTACGATTTTCAGCTTATCTTTGAGCATAAACATATTATAATGTGAATCTCAGAAACGATTCCAAGAATTTTCATTTCATATGCAAGGGGTTTCGGAAGCGTTTCATTTACAAAAATAATACCTAGCATCAGGTCATCAAGGTACTTGTTTATTAATATCAATACAGATGCTGTTTTAATTAGAATGTTTAGATTTCATTAGAATATTGCGTTATCACGTTACATACAAGATGTAAGTGCATCTTATATGTATATGAATTTAGTAAAAAATAGGCAATGTGAAATTAATATCTATTACCATACGCAGCCGGCAGTTATTTTATTACAATTTTCTAGTGCTATTATTGCCACAAAATTATATGTTACATAGAAGATTAATTTTCAAATTGCGAATGAAGACATAGAGCAAATATAGTAGAAGCGAAATAAAGCGTGAGATTGTAATGACGACGATTTGTGGCTAATGATTGCGATTTCGAAGCGCGTGCGCAGCGTCTTTTTTAATTCATTGCCCCAGGCGGACGGATAGCTGAATCTGTTGGAAACTTTATAAGATAAATCTTTTAAATCCGTATTATAAATATAATATTTGGATAATTGCGAAGCTTTGTTTTTGCGTTACTTAATTAAAAAGTTTTTAGGTAACACCATTTAATGACATCGCAGACTTCTCTGTATATTTTTGTTGTTATACATTTAGTACTCAACATAGTTTACTAAGACTTAATATTTCTTAAATATCATGTTACTTTTTGTTATTAATGTATATTGCTGTTTATCTCACTGAAACTCGAGAACGTCTGGGCCGATTTAGTTGATTTTGGTTTTGAAAAGTTTGTTGTAGTTCATCAAATAATAATAATAATTTTGCGCAAATATTTATTTAATAAAGTAAGTGTGTCTAGAATACTGTTAGTTTCGATTATGGTTATATGCAGTGTATTATACCATCTTGTAAATCGCTCACACTATCTTCATAACACTTACAATTAGTGCTATAAAGAGAGAAAGGTTGCCAAGTTGTCGCCTAGAGTCCACTATGAAGCAATGCATGCTTTCGTCGATTTTATTATAAATTGCACCAAACGATATGCCGTTGGCTCGTTCCTTTTTTTTTAAATAAAAGTGAAGATCCATTAGTTGTTTTATATTGAAAATACTTGCAATAAACAACCTATATCTAACAGGAGAAAATTAGATGTAATAAGTCAAAAAACCTGTATTAGGAACGCAATATTTACTAAAACGATTAATAAACGTAACAAAACGGTAAAAAAACGCCATAAATCACGTTTGTTTGTATGTCGACTCCACCCCCCCCCCCCCCCTCCCTTAAATATTTTTTTATTCTGATTTTACTGGTCCCGATTTTACCTTTTTGGCATGTACCTGATAAGTTAGATTTGAAGGTGAAATATTAATATTGTGGATATAGTAATTTCTAAAATGTATTGTAAGAAACCTCTCGAAATAACTTGTTATATGTTGCCTGGTATGCCTACAAAGAAATGAGTTCATTGACAGTATCACTGACACTAACTGTTTGTTGGTATTTTCTTATGTACGCAGAGTTCTTTTAATGACATTTTCCTAGAATAAGATATATGTGCTACCCTTTAATGGGTTCTTATACTTTAGTTGTTAGAAAAAAAAAGTTGCTTTGTTGTGATCTTGTTATGTCGGGATGTAGTGTAATTATCTCTTATGCACGGTATGACGCATGTGTGAAATGTAAGTAATGACATACTGGTATTTTAATCAACGAATTATCGCTAAAAATAGTCTAAAATAATTTATGTTGTGATAATTTACCCAGACTGCCAATAGGTTATAACTAAGAAAAGCAATAGTATTATTTTTAATAAGCATTGATTGTTTAATAAACATTCAGAAATATAAAATACTTATATAAATTTACTTATCATATAACTATAGGGAGGAACAAACTATCTAAGTTTGCGCATTTTTAATTAAAAGTTTAATTTAATTTATTCCGTAATATGATGATAAGACAAAATGAATATTTTAATGAAAAATCCACTTTGTCCCAGGTATTCTGAGATACAAGAATATTTTCCAGTATACCATTGTTAAAGCAAAATTGAGGAATATAATAAAATGAATGTTTTTATTTCATTATTTTTAGTGATGCTTATATAGGTACTATATAAAATATTTTATAACGGTATCACTTAAATATGTAATATATATTTAAAAGCGATTATATTTACCTAACGAAAATCCTGAATTTTTTGCATGATGTAACCACGGAGAAATCGGTTCATACCTACTTGCATAAAAATATACATACTCATTCAATATAGAAATTCCTCCTTTTCAATTTTGAACGACTGCAAAATACGTTACCTTTTGTTTTTTCGCTGATATAAACATGTCATCAAAATATTTAGGTGATATCTGATGGAAAGCGTAGCCTTTGGCGGGCCACTGCAGACGCCCTATATTTTGTTTTGCTATGAAAAGAAAACTACTGATAATATTCAAATGGACCAACTCGGCCCATGAAATTGTCGAATAAAAAAGAATTCTGAAAATCAATTCATAATTGGCGGAACAAACACACAAAAACGAATACATAAAACATACAAATTGAGAAAGCAAACAGTCGAAGAAATAAGAATCTCCTCCTTTTTTTTAAATCACTTTAAAATATTTATTTATAGATTTGTTATAAGCAGTTTCATTTATTAGTTAGGTACATGATTATGAACTTACCAAAAATGATAATTTTGCATGTGTAATTATAATTTTTGAATGAATTTAGAAAAAAAAAATGATAAAGATTATACCGATTTGGTCGTATATGGATTGACTGTTAAAACAGTAACAAAGTGTAGTATTATATGTACAGTTATGTTTTGATATTAAAAATATAGAAAGGAATGTAATACTTTATTCTGAGTTTTTCGTGTATTTGAACATAAACCCTCCAATCATGAATATTCCCTTTCACGTGCAGAATATCGCTGTGCTGTTTTTATTTCTAATTGAAACTTACTAGTTATTTTAATTGCTTTTTTGTTATGATACATGGCCTCGTTGGAGTCATCAAGATAATATATTGTATAAAGTATTGATTTTGTCATATCCCACATATTCATTGCTCTTTTATACTATTATGTTCACATTATAAATTCAATTTTATTAGAAAGCCTTGTAAGTACGAAGCTAATCAATCTTGTGCTTTCCTTTTATATTATTCAGATGGTGATAGGAGCGTGTCACTAAGGCGTGAATCGTGAATAACGATTAGACATGAAGAACTCGTTATGGGTTCAAAATGGAATTTAGTAAAAAATCTGCTGCTACTGTTAGCAATGGAACATACTCGTGCCCTATTTGTTTCTAAAATATTAGCTGTTTTCCTGCGACTTCATCTGCGTAAATTCTATCCTATGTTATCTGTGTACGACGTAGCTTTCTGTAGGTGGAAGAATTGTTATAACCGGATCAGGATTTTACGAAAATTACACCCGATCAATTAAAAAAAAAATTTGAAACATTACTTCTTTATAATATTAGTTTAAATAAAACAAAGTATAATAAAAAGACCTGAAGTATTATCAAATAATAGTCAAAATATAACAACACGAATAAGCCACAAATTCTCAAATAAAAATAAAAAGGTATACGAATCAAAGCATCATAACATAAATATGCAAAAAAATCTAAGTTACAAACTTTCCAGCCAGATACCAATAAACGCCTTTAGCATTCAAAAGAGCTTCTAAGTTTTGAATTCAATCGGTAGTTATTAGCATAAACTGTTTGTTTTATGTGTCATACCTATTCTAGTGTCATTTTATTGATTTAGAAAGTTATTAAATGAAGAGGAAACGTTCCATTCTCTTACACAATAATTGTAATATTTCTAAATGACAAACAGGAGTCATAACATTAGTAGATTATAAATATTACAACTTACTGCCCAGGATTTTACATAAGTATTAAGTTTTACATTATGGAACCGCCTACTGTCTGCTTCTGAGAGCCATTTATTAATTATTCATGGAGTGCTTATTCTAAATACAATATGTATGTAGCTCTCCGTATATTGAACGTCTTCATATTGGTACAGTCGTGTAGATCTTGTGTTATTCAATCGAATGTATACTTGAATAAAGTCAAACAACGCACAATGTAAACTATCTACTAAATTATCACTTTCAGAAGTTAAAAATAAATGGCCGCTTTATTGTAATTACGAATTAAAAAGTAAATGTACTATAATGTAACAGCTCGTAGTGTAAGTTATAAGAAAAAGGACGAGACAACAGTTGGAGTGCTAGAACAGAAAGATGAGGAAAACCTTAATAAATATTCTTTTGACTATTTA